ATTTTCAAAAAAAAAGTATAGATGTATGATTCACGTCGTGCCTACTACAAGTCGACATTATTTAAATAAGTTTAGTTGGATCATAGAAAAAAGAAAAAAAATATTTTCGAGATATTTGAGTAGATTTAAATCTTTATGTGAAGCACATTGTAGAAAAATACTTTAAATAATTTATATTTTTGTTGCAAATTAAAAAAAATTATATAGAGTTCAATTCTGAAAAAATAACATCGGCTTATCTATATACCCACTAATAAAATAATTAGTGCTTCTACCCGTCCGTCCATAAATAACTCACTATGTCACCCACAAGTGAAGAAAATGATTCAATTTTTTTCCCAAGTCGCCATCTGGTTCGGTTCTTTTACCGTGATACGCTCATATATCACAAGCACATAAGCACCACAATAGCTAAAGCCTGAGTCTTCCACACTGGAGACTCGGGTTCGATTATACACTTTTTCTTTTTGAATGGAAATGTGTCACCGCACACGTTCATGGGCCTGCCCATGTGCGGGGCGTAACGGCCCCTTTTTTCATTTCTTTTTTTGCTTTTTCTTTTATCCTCTTTCTTTTAGTTTTTTCTTATTTAAATTAATTTGATGTTTTATAAAATTCCAAATTTCAGAAAATTGTGATTTTTTAAAAATAATCGATAAATCTTAAAATGTTCATGAATTCAAAAAAAGTTCAAGAAATCATAAAAGGTTCATGATTTTATAAAATTGTCCAGATACTATAAAAAATAAATTTTGAAAAAAAGTTCATTGTTTATAAAAAATAGTGTATTCAAAACATATTCAGGAATTGTTAAAAAATCCATGAAATATTCATAAAAATTCAAACAGATTCGTAAATAGCAAACAAAACAAACCATCGCTTACATAGAGGTTTTATTAGGGAATCTTTAGAGTTTGTTTTATGATTTTATTTAATCCATCACGTGTCGTGTAAATAAAAGGTTTTTGTGTTCTGTACAACGCTGAGCCCCAAAAAAAATTGACACAACTTCCTATGGGTTAGTTTTTGCAAGGTATATGAAAATGACAAAATGTCTAATTTGCCTCCATACACAACTATGTTTATTTTGGTACCACCATTTTACTGATCATGAAAAACACCATGACGCTAGATCAATGCGAGACACATCATTCATTAGTCTAGCTCATGAAGGGTCCATCAATGCAGTTTGCTCAGCCAAAAAATGTTTTGTTGTGGTGCCATAGGAAATCAAGTCATGATGAGACCATCACATTTTCAATTTTTAAAATGACTTTTTAAAAGTCCCTATCTCATCATGATATGATTCAGATGTAGTTTATGAAATGACCTTTTAAAATACCTTATCTCATCCTGGCATATGTTGTAGACTTTTTTTATCTCTACCACATATGTATAATCTGATTGTTTTCCCCTGCTACAATGCACAGGCATATTTGCTAGTAAAAAAATACATAAGATCTTGACATAAACATCAAGAATATAATAAATTTATTACCAAAAAAAGGTCTTGACTCTGCATGAAAATGTGATTATGTGCTACAAGCAATGACTATACTAGAAACAAACAAAAAAAGCAAGTTAGGCCAGTAATAATAAATAAAAAAGGAGGGAGCACAACATATTAAGATATTATCGGTCAAAGCGAAGACCTGATCTGAGGGAGTAGTAAGAATTCCAGTGAAATAGAACGCTTTGATTAAAACTAGTAGAAGGTTGAGCATGTTTCGTTGCGTCGTTGGTGCTGTGGTGTAACATGTTGGTGTTCTTTTTATCTAGACTAGATGGTGAGTGGAAGTGTAGGACCGATGTGTTTCTAGACTGGTCGTTGTCAATTATTTTAAGAAATCGTTGATCCGGTTTAAATCGTGAATTAAGAGAATCGTTGAGGCAAATCCAGCATTAAACCTCTGAATTGAGTGAAACGGCTTCGAAATTAAGAGATCCCAAAATAAGTGCCTCGACTATGTATACTAGCTCTAATGCAAAGTTATACTAAGCTCAAGACACTTATTTTAAGACGGAGGAAGTAGATGATAGATCCTCCTTGCGAGGAATATGTCGAACAGCACTAAAAAAACCGTAATATATCACACCCAAAGGGAAAAGGAAAGTTAGCCCCAATAATCTAACAAAAAGACAAAGGAAAAGAAAGTTAGACGCGCGTGGCGCTCGGCGCGGGGCGCCCGTCACGGCCCCTTGGGGCGCGTGCACCGGCCGCCACCCTCGGGGCGCGTGCGCGCCACATGACCCGAACAACCGTCACATGATGCAACCCAACCCAAACCAAACCGCCGTGGCTTTCCTCCCCCTCCCCGCAAAAAAATCCCCCGCCCTCGCATCCCAGCCGTCCATCCGTCCCGTGCACCTCGGGCAGATAAATACCTCGAGCCAACCAAACCCAGAGTCCCACCCGAACCCAAGCCCCCTCTCCCCTCCTCTCCGGCGGCCGTCGCTTTCCCCTCGGACTCCTCCTCTCCGCTCGCCCGCCCGCCAGCCAGACGCTGCCGGTTCTCCACGTCTCGCCCCCTCCTCCCTCCGGCCTCCGCCTACGACGCGCTCCAGGTGAGTTCTTGGTCCTTATCCTCCTCGCGCCTCCTCCTCCTTCTTGGTTTCGTCTCTGGTGCCTCTGCTTAGCGGGTTCTTTGGAGGAAGCAAGATTGCCCCCTTCTCCGTGCTCCCTTCTCCGCCGTCGTGGCCGTGCTTGCCGCGCCGCCGTCGTGGGATTGGGCCGCTCCGCCGTAGGTGTGGCGGGCTAGGCTCTAGGGGTTTAAATCTGTCTGTGCGGGGGAAAGTTCGCTGCGAGAGTTCTTGCGGTGGTGGTCGACAGTTAGATGGACGGGATCTCCGAGCGAGGGCTTCATGGTTTCTGAAGGTCTTTGCTAAGATGCGTATCAGTCGATGAAAATTCTCAGTCTTTCTGGGAAAAAGACGGTTCAATTTTACGATTCTGTAGCATGTCGACATGGATAGTGGCAAGCCCAGATATTTTTATCAAGAAGAGAAGTCTGGGATTGTTATGCTGGGTCACTGAAGCAGAAATAATTGTAGTTATGCAGACTAACTGGGGCAGAACTAATTGTAGTTATGCAGAATAATTTAAGCAGAATAACTGAGGCAGAATTAATTATTATGCTATGATATGCAGAATAACTGAAGCATAATTACTGAATCAGGACTTAACTGTGTACAACATGCTCAAAGAATTTCAATACTTGTTTTTTCTAGTGGCGTGTAAAATGAGTGGGGAGATCTTTGATGGGCTCTCGCTATTCAATGCAAGCATGAAACTGTGCAAAGATACTTTATCTTTATTTAAGATTGATGTACTCCTACTCATGATTGGGGAATACTTCAATCAATGTGCAGGTCCTCGTTGAGTGAAGCATCCTCCTTCCTTTTTCTGACATGGGTATGGAGCATTTGATGAGTGTCGTGAATCCTTCATCAGGTTAGCCAAACGTTTCCCTCTGCCGATACAGTTTCTATGCATAGCAGACTGTGACTGACTATTTGTACATAGGTTACATCTCACAAAGAGGTTTCGAACGTCGTGGTGATGGAACGATGGAGGAAATGAAAGAGCGACAGAAACAGAGGACAGAAAAAATGATGGAAGACTACCAAAACACAGAAAGCAGAGATGGAGCGATCAGATGTCCAATTCCATGCAAAAGCAGCAGGTATTTATTAACTCTCTGGTCAACTAGAATTTACTACGGTTCACAGTCTGCATCTTGTATGTACTAGTCAGTAGTTATATAAACCCACCATGGTCTTTAAATACATGTTTCTAAGAAATTACCAAATGTAGCTATTTTCTAGAGTTGTCCCAATCAGGATTTTCTCATTTATATTTTAAATGGATAAACACTATGCAATGATTTTACAGCTAGTACACTCTGCTCTGATATGAATTTTTCATAATTAATTGGGCTTTAAAACATCTACAAAGTTGATCAGATTTTCTTTTGAGTTCTGACATTTTGATCTTTATTAAGACTCATGATTTTTCTTCTTCTTTGTTCAGACCGTACAGGGAGTATGATTTTAAAAGTGCACAAGATCTCTCTGATTTTATGGTGAGCAAGGTTAGTCTCTGTCTGTCTCTCTCTCTCTCTCTGATGTTCGAGAAATGTGCTTGCACTTTCCAGTCATAGGCTATTTCATATTTTTTCTTTTGAGCTGTGTTGGAGTAAATTGTTAGCACAGCTAAACAAACAGTCTGACGTTTACTTGTCATTTAACCAAGTCCCTCTTAATAATAGTTGGTTTGACAATCTGCAGGCTTCTCCTCCATACTTCATGGGATCTCCACCAGTTCGTGCAAGCAATCCCCTTGTCAATGACAGGCAGTTCCGTGCTTGGAAAGTACAAAGCGTTGATGAGTCGCGCGGCATTCCTATACCAACCAGGGGCTACTGCGTTGGCTACAACAAAAGGGCAGGGTCTACTACAGAGGACTGAAGCTACATTTATCAGTTTCATGACCTCGCTGTGAAGTGTAGTTGTAACAAGGGAAAATTGTACATAGGAAGTCATCACCTTCGGAAGCTTCCCGTTTTCGAGGCTTTTTGTGGCATGTCATCGGTAGTTATGTGTATATATCTTTTCGTTCAGTTTTGCGGGCAGCGAGGCTAGTTTTGGCAAATAAATTTGTCAAACTCTGTTGTTGAGAATTGAGGCTTTTGTTCAGGTTTAATGGAAATGACAGCATTTCTTTAGCTTCTAATTGCCGTGTTAATCTGTGCTGGATGTGTTACTCGCTGTTATGAGCTGATTTTTTGTCACGGTTATTGCTGGAACCCATTGACTGTTGGTCGGTACAGCAAGATCAGGATCATGTTTTGTATTTCTGAGCTCACCTTGTCACTGATACATACATTTCACAGAAGCTTTCTGAAGCTTCACATCTCGTTTGCTTTTCAACCGATTGCTGTAACATTTGCTCTATATCCCACTGACTCTTGATTGATGGTATATATTATCAACACATACTGTCATTTTTGTCTTCTGTAAATGTTCTTTGGCCTTGTCTGCCTGTTGAATTGCTGATCTTTTCTCTGATGCCCACCATCAAACTTCAGTGGGACGACCTGCTTGATGTATGAAGCGCCTGGGAAGTTTCTCCTTTCCTTTGCTAGCGACCGGAGCTCCGGTAGCCAGTACGCGACATATTCGCCGTCAGGATCGTACGTCTTGGCCTACAGAGGAATGTTCACTCGTGATCAGACTAAGGTATGAGTAGTAAAAAACCACCGTGCTCTGATATTAAGATCTTAGGGTTAGGAGGCAATACATTGATGCTCAAAACCTACACTTTCATGGTTGTTCTTAGGTCACCATGCTCATTTGCCAATACGCTAGCTATGGTGGTTTTGGGTAGTATGATTGACTGGAGTTCAGTCTGTTAAAAACAAGTATTCAGATGTTGGTGGTATTTAGTCTTGATGCTTACTTGCTTGGGTATGCTAAAGTATCGGTCTTCTCGTGGATCATTGCCAACTCCTGTCAAGGGTCCAGCAGCAGTTCAGTCAGTTCAAGTATCTCAGCAATTTATGTGTACATGAGCTCCTAATTTTGCATTATGTGCTTGAACCATGCTATGCTATCTAGTATGAAGTATCAAAGATGGTAATGGGGCACAAGGAAACACTGACCTGCTCCATATGTCCAATTGCCATAATTAGAAGCCGGGTCATAATCCAGAAGGCATGTTTCAAACCATTCAGCTCCCATTCGCCAGTCGATACCCATGTCCAGGACCAAAAAAGAGCAGACAATCTGCATAGAAGATCATTGAACGATTGGCATATGCGAAAAGATGGCCTGCATTTAACCCAAATGTGCAGTCATGCTGATGATCAGCGGTATGTCGAAAGTTACCTGACGGCCACGGTTGGACATGAAACCAGTAGCTAAGAGCTCCTTCATGTTGGCATCAATAAGAGGGTACCTGAATTTCACCATAACCAAATTCAGAACTCAGAAGGTATGGCGAGGAGCAAAAAGACGGAACAACTTGGAGTATGCCGATGCCGTACCCGGTCCGACCATCTTTCCAAGATTCGAACAACGCCTCATCTTGGCTCCACTTGGACGCCACTTTTCTCGGCCCCCCTACAACATTCACAAAAGGATTATGCTCTCTTGCTGGCCGTGACCTTTTTTCCAGATAAAACATCTGCGCATTATTTTCGTAATAAACTGGAAAAGCAAGAAATCAGAATGATACATTTCCTCACGATGAGGGGAGAGACAATTGTATCCTTACCCAAGTGGAAAATGGAGTTCCCATATTTTGCTGAAAGGAATCTGAAGTAGTCCCTCCATATCAGCTCAAACAAAACCCTGAAACCATTGCCATGTCAGCCAGTAAAGGCAGACCAGACAGTATGAATCTGAGCATTCCTTACAAAAACTTCAACATGAAATTTAGGCCAGATATGCACACTGACTAACCAGTATGTGGAATCATTTGCCACTTGCTGCTTCTCATATCTCTTAACCTGAATAATCACCAGACATTTAGCACAAGAGAGAAAGAGCTGATAATGTGCGCAGACAACGCTAAATATCCACCTCTTCGCAAACATAGCGCGGCGAAAGGCTGCCGGAGGCAAGCCAAGGGGAGAACTTGGTGGAGTAGTCCGGCCCAAGCATGCCGTTCCTGGTCTCTTTGTAGACTTTCACCTGATCATTCTTCCAGAAGTACTCGTGAACCCTTCCGAGAGCCGCGCTCTCCCCTCCGACGAAACGCATTCCCTTCTCTGACTACATAGAGAGGCAAATTAAACAGTACCAACTGGAAGTGAAATTCTAGAACCATATCCAAACAAGGTACCACAGTGGGGGTACTGAAGATCAGTATGTGGAATACAGTTAACTGAACCTGCCTTCGTTACACTTAGGCCCAGTGACTCCAGAGTCGGTATCGACCCCCACCCGCCGAGCTCATCCAGGCCGGAGCCCGGGGCCGGCCCGAGCGAAGGCGGCAGCTTGCCACAGCTCCGGACCGAGGACTTCGACTCGACCGCCTGCACGGCAGAAGCATCACATTTCATGAACAACACCCACCAACCTTACCATTACAATTTACAGAGGAATCAGGATGAATGGAGAGCACCTACCTTTCTGAACTGGGTGTACACGTCCGGCAGGTTGCTCACCGGGAACGGGAGATCGTCGGTGTGGTACATCGTCGCTGCCCAGACGAGCTGAAGCTTGGGGCTGAGAGGCCTATTATTCCGGCCAGAAGCTCCTCCCTGTCCTTGAGGGAGAACCACCTGCTCCAAGCCTCTGCGCACGAGGCGCTCCACGAGGAGCTCCTCGCTGCAGGTCTCCTTGTGGGCATAGACCTGAAGATCGACCGGGAAATTCAGTATCAAGCTGAAGCAATTAACCGGCTCGGTGGATATGATATTGTGCTGTGCAGATGGGGCTCTTACTGTGTGTGCACTGACGGCCTTGGCGATCGCAGGGAGGATGTCTTCAGGCTTGCCGTGCCGGACGAGCAGGTCGAGCCCGCGCTTCTGCAGGTTCCGCTTCAGGTCTCCCAGGCACTCTATCAGGAACTGCGCCCTCAATGCTGCAGCAATCGATCAGTCAGTCAGTCAGTCAGTCGGATCAATCGAGGTTCAGTGTCGTCGATGGCGTGGAAATTTGCTGTGATGTGCCTCGCCTCCGGTCTTGGGGAAGCCGAAGCGGTGGGTGGCGCCGGCGAGGGCGCGGGGGTCGACGCAGTAGACGGGGAGGACGGCGCCGGAGGCCGCCCACGCGCGCGCCAGCGCCTCGTTGTCCAGCACCCGGAGGTCGCTCCTGAACCACACGACGGCCACGCCGACCGCGCCGACTGCCCTCCGAAGGCCCGGCGAGGTGTGTCTCCGGAATGCGTCGTCAGCCGCCGCGGCGGTCTCGTCGAGGCCGAGGGACGGCACCGCCGCCGCCAGCACGGCGCGCGGGGGGCGGAACGGGCTCGAGCTCGAGGTCGAGGCGGCCATGGAGATGAGGGCGCGGAGGCTGGCGGTTGGCTGTCGCGGGAGGAGGAGGAGTGATTGCGCGGCGGCGGGAGGGAAGGAGGAGGCGGAGGAGGAGAGGAGGTGGTGGTGGAGCATTTTTTTCTGGACTGGGAGGTGAGGTTTTTGAGAGTTGAGGGGGGTGTGTGGAAGATGGAGGCGGGAGGAAGGTGGAGGGAAGAGCGGGGAGGGTGCCACGTGGGGGCATTTGAGTGGTGCTACGTGGATGGATGTGAGCCTGGGGATGGGTGATGGATAATGTGGGCCATAGCACAGAGGTTTTATGGTGGTGGACCTAGATGGCAGCGTGTTGCTGTCATCATTTTCTAAGGGATTTAAATTTCGAAAAGTACAAAAATACAAAGATGACATGCCACATAAGGCTGCGTTTGGCAGCAAGGTTTTTTCAAAGTTTTCCGATAATACTACGGTTTCTGGAAAAAACAATGATTTTCAATACTTTGATGCGTTTGACTTCAGAAAAAACTGAAGTTTTATAAACCACAGTGTCCCCGAAACCATGGTATTTTTGCTGTATTGGAAAAAGAGGTCCGGACCTCTTTTTTCTAAACCGAACAAAGGGCAATCAATGTCGCTGTCTACATCGAGATAATTGTACCCGATGAGATCGCCTCCTACTTTTCCTCTGTCTGATATCTCGTAAACCAATTCTCTTATATCTCCTGCTTATTAGCCGATTTTGTTTGATCGCGTACGTATAGTTGGTCTCTTGGGTGGTCCTTCTTCCAGCCGGGAGTACAAACGGCGCACATAGAACTTTGACCCGACTGGAAGTACATGCACGTACAGAAATAATATGATGGCAACACTACTAAGATTATACTATTACTTTAGTCTAGTTGATTACTGAACTTAAGTTGCCACGTGCTCTTGGTCAATCATGTACGTCCTGTTTAAATACTTGGTCAAAACTTTAGTAAAACAGCAGCAGCCAAACACATATAAAACTGAGAAAAAAGTTGGTTTTAAGAAACTGTAGTATTCCTTGCCCATCCATCAAAATACTACGGTTTTCAATAACCACAGTTTTCTAAAAAATTTGCTGCCAAACTAAGCCTAAATGGTGATGTTCCACTCACATGTGAGGGTACACACATGCGAAGTTTCGCGAGGTAACATTGCTATTCTTGGCGAAGAAAAACAAAAATGAGCCTCCCAATTGCTTCAGCCATGGTTTTTCTTTATAGTGCTGATTTTATCTTTTTGCTTGGAATATCGCGGATGTCATTTCCTTGCAAAACTTATGAGTATGAAGTTAAAGAATTGTTTGACTTTCGATCAAATTATTGACGCAACAGCAGGGCACGGCTCTCTGTGTTTTCTTGACGCCTACTCCAGATACCATCAAATTAAGATGAAGGAATTGGACCAGGTTGCAACCACGTTCATCTTTAGTATTATTTCCCCATTTTTTGGGTTGCATCCAGGTTCCAAAAATCCATGTCCATGGAAACTTCCCCTAAATGCGACGTGTCGAGAACATATCTAGTAGCATTTTGCTAGAAACACCAAATACCACCATAGGCCACCAGAAACTGGAGTCAAAGAACTTCGACATGACATTACGACTTTAATGAGGCACACGTTTCTATTGCTTATCAAACATACATTGAGAAAATGAATAAATCAACACAGCATGTGGTTAATTAACCATGTTACGGAAATTGAATAAATCTTCCATTTTGTTTATCTGGTAAAATAAAAACTAGCTCATGGTATCTCCGGAATACACTGAACAAAACATACAAATATTTGACAAGCGAGCTGTTTTTGGTGCAACACAATGATGTTGTGGTGGGAGGCAAAGTGAGCACGGGAGGAAACATGAAACAGGCGCTCTTCAGAAGCAAGGAGAAAGCTGATCCTTTCTTTACTCACTCCTTTTGGGTGAGCATACATACATATCCAATCATCCAACAATAGGCATCACAAGCCCAGCATATGCAAAAACAAAAAGGCAACACATTATGCTCAATATACGTGGTTGATTCACAATTTTACATGTTGTAGGTTATCTTGTTCAGTTTTGTTTGCCTGCCATATATAACTTTCGGAGTTAACTGATACACATATATGTATAACTTTCAGACTTAAATTTCAGAGGTATCCTGGAGTCCCTGTCAATATTCTTATTCCCCAATTTGGTTCAACTTCTATTGAGGTACCTTTTCCTCACTACCACATAAATATGATATGTTTAACTCATCTTGGACAAATTGATAAGGTGCATGCATTGTGTCGCAATTTAATCCGCAGAAAAGTAGTTGTTCTTTATTTTTCTGTCTGCAATAAGATGACTAAGTATGTTATGTCTGCAACTCTGCATACAAGTATTTCTGATCAAGCTTATATGCCTCTTCTGAGCAGCGCTTAGATGCACTTTCTATCCCTGGTTTGCAAATTTGTCGCAGTCCTCACTTCTTAGCAGTTGAAATAGTTATCTCCTTTTCAGCGACAGAGGCTTGATAATAGAAAAGGATCTGCTAGAGTTGTGCATCATCTAGGCTCTCATTGATTGTTTGGAGCATGCTTACTGTTTTCCTGATAGACAATATAAGTCAATTGTGTAAAACTGTATCGAAGCGTCTCAATGCCCATACACAGGCACCCGCATGTTATATATTGATATTGTGGTTTGTGATACAAGAAAGGTTGTTGGGAAACAACCATATGAGAGATTACAAGGGGTTTAAGATAGAGATAACTAGAGATTACAATCTATCTCTAGACACAACCGAAACAGGTACATAACTACCTGTACCTATACGCCACCTGTACCCATACATTTAACACCCTCCCATAATCATAACTTGGTCAAGTTAAGATTACGCTTGAATTCTTCAAATGGTATGGTTGGTAGTGCTTTTGTAAAACCATCTGCGACTTGATCTTTTGAATGCACAAACCTTATCTCCAATTCCTTGCTTGCAACTCTTTCCCTTACAAAGTGATAATCAATCTCAATGTGTTTAGTCCGTGCGTGAAAAACAGGATTAACTGAAAGATACGTTGCACCTAGGTTGTCACACCAAAGACATGGAGTTGGAGAACAATATATCCCAAGCTCCTTGAGCATGGACTTAACCCATATAACTTCTGTCGTTGCATTTGCCAATGCTTTATACTCTGCTTCAGTACTTGACCTGGACACCATAGCTTGCTGAAGGAAATATGCCCTAGAGGCAATAATAAAGTTATTATTTATTTCCTCATATCATGATAAATGTTTATTATTCATGCTAGAATTGTATTAACCGGAAACATGATACATGTGTGAATACATAGACAAACATATAGTCACTAGTATGCCTCTACTTGACTAGCTCATTAATCAAAGATGGTTATGTTTCCTAACCATAGACATGTGTTGTCATTTGATTAATGGGATCACATCATTAGAAGAATGATGTGATTGACATGACCCATTCCGTTAGCCTAGCACTTGATCGTTTAGTATGTTGCTATTGCTTTCTTCATGACTTATACAAAGTTCCTGCAACTATGAGATTGTGCAACTCACGTTTACCGGAAGAACACTTTGTGTGCTACCAAAAGTCACAACGTAACTGGGTGATTATAAAGGTGCTCTACAGGTGTTTCCGAAGGTACATGTTGAGTTGGCATAATTCGAGATTAGGTTTTGTCACTCCGATTGTCGAAGAGGTATCTCTGGGCCCTCTCGGTAATACTCATCACTTAAGCCTTGCAAGCATTATAACTAATGAGTTAGTAATAAGATGATGTGTTACAGAACGAGTAAAGAGACTTGCCAGTAACGAGATTGAACTAGGTATTGGATACCGACGATCAAATCTCGGGCAAGTAACATACCGATGACAAAGGGAACAACGTATGTTGTTATGCGGTTTGACCGATAAAGATCTTCGTAGAATATGTAGGAACCAATATGGGCATCCAGGTTCCGCTATTGGTTATTGACCGAGAATGGTTCTAGGTCATGTCTACATAGTTCTCGAACCCGTAGGGTCCGCACGCTTAACGTTACGATGACAATTTTATTATGAGTTTATAAGTTTTGATGTACCGAAGTTTGTTTGGAGTCCCGGATGTGATCACGGACATGACGAGGAGTCTCGAAATGGTCGAGACATAAAGATTGATATATTGGAAGCCTATATTTGGACATCGGAAAGGTTCCGGGTGAAATCGGGATTTTACCGGAACACGGGGGGGTTACCGGAACCCTCCCGGGGATTAATGGGCCTTAGTGGGCCATGAGGGAGAAGAGGAGGGCCGGCCAGGGCAGGCTGCGTGCCCCCTCCCCCCCTAGTCCGAATAGGACAAGGAAGAGGGGGGCGGCGCCCCCCTTTCCTCTTTCCCCTCCCCCCTTTCCTTCTCCACCAAGGCAAGAGGGGGGAGTCCTACTCCCGGTGGGAGTAGGACTCCTCTAGGCGCACCCCAAAGGGGCCGGCCGCACCTCCCCCTCCCTCCTTTATATACGGGGGCAAGGGGGCACCCCATAACACACAAGTTAATCTACGGATCGTTCCTTAGCCGTGTGCGGTGCCCCCCTCCACCATATTCCACCTCGGTCATATCATCGCGAAGCTTAGGCGAAGCCCTGCGCCGGTAGAACATCATCATCGTCACCACGCCGTCGTGCTGACGGAACTCATCCCCGATGCTTTGCTGGATCGGAGCCCGGGGATCGTCATCGAGCTGAACGTGTGCTGAACTCGGAGGTGCCGTACGTTCGGTGCTTGGATCGGTCGGATCGTGAAGACGTACGACTACATCAACCGTGTTGTACTAACGCTTCCGCTTACGGTCTACGAGGGTACGTGGACAACACTCTCCCCTCTCGTTGCTATGTCATCACCATGATCTCGCGTGTGCGTAGGAATTTTTTTGAAATTACTACGTTCCCCAATAGTGGTATCAGAGCCAGGTTTTATGCGTTGATATAATATGCACGAGTAGAACACAAGTGAGTTGTGGGCGATACAAGTCATACTGCTTACCAACATGTCATACTTTGGTTTGGCTGTATTGTGAGATGAAGCGGCCCGGACCGACATTACGCGTACGCTTACGCGAGACTGGTTTCACCGTTGCGA